CTTCCCACCAGCTGCGGGTCGCCGCCCCACGTCAGGTGCTCCCACTTCTGTCCTCAGTCCCACCCTTCCGTCCCCGCTTCATAAATGGGCCATTTCCAACGTGGGGGCCAGAGGTATAGAAGAAAAACTTTCTGAATACAATACTCGGAGACCATAAACAAAAAGATGGATAAATCTGACTATGAAAAAGTTTGCATTCAAAATAAAACATTTGAAAAAGGCCAAGAGTGAAAGTGGGAGAAAACTTGCAATGAATAATACATCAGATGAAGAGCTACAAAGATCACCTTCAAATCAGCTGCCCTCCCCCCAAAAAACTCCAGAGAAACGAATGGGTGAAGGAGACTCAGAGAACAGACAGTTCAGAGAACAGATGCCCTATAGTTCACTTATCACAAATAAACGTGAATTCAAACTGCAACCAGGACATTTGCTTCCGACGGCAGCAGACATGGTCCAGATGCGCCCTCCGGCCCCAAGAACGGCAGACACGCTGGGGGATCTGCGTGCCTGGAAGTGACGCCAACCGCAGCCCAGGAGGGACAAGCCCACACACAGCCTGACACCCAGGGAGACACACACTGGAATCCCGAGGCCGAGGCAGCTCGATCTGGGACAGGGAGCCCGAGAAGGGAGCTGCACAGATAAGACAAATCTGCAAACAATGAGGATTAAAAATAGAGCATAAAATAGCCATGAAAAAGTATACAGACCGTGCGTTGGTTGAGACACTGCTTTCACTGTCTTGGGTTAAATGAACTGTATTCTCAGATTCATTCCTCCAGCTTTTTAAAAACTTTTCAAAGTGACCACTGGAAGATAGTCAACTACACATGTGGCTCGGACTGTTTTTCCATTGAAATCCAATGATCTGGGGATTTTTTTAACTTTATTTTTATTGTTTACATTATTACAGATGTCCCCATTCCCTCCCCCTTCAGCCCCCTTCCCTCAGGCCATCACCCCACTGTGGCTCGTATCTAAGAGACATGGGGATTTTTAAAAAGGCACATTGCCTACAAACAGCCCGCTTTACATCCACATGTTAAACACAGTGAAAAAAAAGAAAAGTTCATGCTAACACTCATTGGAAGAAAGTTGGCATGGCTCCATTACCAGACCTGGGGTGTAAGGGGAGTTTGGTGATGCTGAGGACGTCACTCCTCAGGACAACACCACGTTCCTAAGTGTGTACACGCCTAATGTCAGAGGATTTAAATCCAGGGAGCAAAACCAGCAGGACATTGGATAGTGAGACAAAACCACAGCTGTAGTGAGACGTTTCAGTGCACAAAGTTAGGAAGACGGCAGAGTCCCAGCTGGCGACGGTGACTGACACGGCCACCAACCCAACCCACTCTGCCCAGGTCTGCAGAGCGCTCCTCCAGCCGCCACTCCCCATCTCGGAACACACTCTGCCGAGGGCACACAAGGCAGCCAGCTCGGTGTGGAGCACCACACGGAGCTCAGCAAACAGGAAAGGAGTAAGACCGACATCCTGAGACCACAACGGAACTCAAACCAGGAACCGCCCCGGCCAGGTGGCCCCGTTGGTTGAAGCACCAGCCCATGCACTGGAAGATTGCCGGTTCGGTTCCTGCTAGATTGCAGGTTCAATGCCCAGCTGGGGTTCGTGCAAGGCAGCTGATGGCTGTTTCTCTACGACATGGATATTTCTCTCTCTCTCTCTCCTCCCCCATCCTCTCTCTTTAAAAATCAATAAACATATCCTTGGGTGAGGATTAAAGAAAAAAATACAATAATGGAAGAAAGCTGAAGAAGAAAGTCAAATGTCTGAAAATTAAACCACACACCCAAACAACCCAGAGATCAAAGAAATCACAAGGGAAATTAGAAACAAAGGAACACGTCAACACATAGGAGGTTCGAGCACATGGTGCTGCTGGGCGGAATGCACAGCGCTGTGTTTACATTAGAAAGAAGCTCTTCCGAGGTGGCTCAGTCCAGGCGGTCAGTCACTGGCCTTTGGGAGACCTCAGCTCCTTGCTGACTGACCTCTTCACAAGCCACCTGCATGTCCTCGGACCTCATGGCTGGCATCCCCCAAAGTGGGTCATCCATGTTGTTCTTCCGGTGACCTTGCCAAGAATAAGATCAAGTCTGGAAGACAGGTGGCAGCTTCACTGATTCCTACATGAACAGCCCACGCTCCCAAGTTTGTGCCTTTGCAAAATTCAACAGTATCACCTCAAATGCTGAGCACGAGCGCACCAAATTTTACACTCCGTGGCAGCATTAGAATTAACAAGCATAGGCAGTATCGTCCAAGCTAAACACCACGACAAGCCAGCAGTTCCACTGCTAAATATACACGGGACAGAAATGTTTACATATGTCCCAAAAGACAAGGACCAGAACGTTCATGGCAGCCCCTCTGGAAACTGTTCAAATGCTCTTGACAGAATGGATATGTTGTGGTATGTCCACACATGGGAATACCATGTAGCAATGACAATGAACCACTGACAGCAACGTAGATGAATCTCATTCAAAAAGTCCAAAAAGTCGAGCCAAAGCAAACGAATCTGTTACATCAGCCTGGGCATCACTGGGGAAGAGCAGAGGGAGTGTAAAAGGCTGGAAGAGCTTGGGGGACCTCTCGGCTATTGGTAAAGGCCCCGTTTCCGGTGGGGACTGTCGTACAAGTGTGTCCAGTCGGTGAAATTTCAGTCTGTGCATTCCAGGTGTACTTCCCAGGTGTATACTGCACTTAAAATGAAAAAATAAGTAGAACCCTTTGAATTAAGAAATATGATAAAGCCCAGTTTTAAAAAATCAATGAGTTGGAACAAAGCCCAGTAGAAACAAAAAAAATGGACAAAAGGAAAAAAATGCAATTAGAGGAGTGTACAAGAAAACCAAGTCTCCAGCTCCCACAGTAGGGCCACAGGCAAAACTGACGAATCAGGAAACTGCTTTGTGCCCTGGCTGGGGCGGCTCAGGGGAGCCACACCCACTGAGTGGCAACCTGCAGAGCCAAGGGTCACCGGTTTGATCCCCAGTCAGGGCACATGCCTGGGTTGTGGGCCAGGTCCCCAGTGTGGGGTGCACAAGAGACAACCACACACTGATGTTTCTCTCCCTCCTTTCATAAAAGCTTAAGAAAAAACAAGATTGTGAGATGGAGGTGGACCTGTCTTCCTTAAAAAGCCAGACACAGAAGGGGGACATGTTGTTCCAGATGAAGCGTTAAGATTTGTAAAACCCTTTAAATACAACATATGGCTGTCTCGGGTTTACCAACCAGAAAAATTTTGGGGACAACTGGGGACAAGTAAGGAAAGACCCAATTACCAGTCAGGGTCTCCCCAAGGATACCGCTCCTGTCACCTGTGACTGGTCGGGACCTTTGGTAGAAGGACCAGTCCCAGGGGTGTGAACAGGGTTTCAGAACCGGGAAGGAAGCCATCTCTGCTCCTGGGGCCAGTGGGGCCAGAGCCCCAGAGGCTGCTGCCCTGACAGGACACAGCCCAGCAGGAGGGACCCTGCAGAGGAGGGCGCTGCACCCCCTTCTGCCCAGCACACCTGCCGCCTGGCTTCCTCTGGCCACACTCACCAGGAGCCCGCAGTCCACGCGGTCCTCGAGTCCTGGACAGAGGGGAACAAGGGTGCCTGTGTGGGCGAATGGAGACCAACGCACACAGTGGAGAAGGAACGGAGGTGTGGAGGAAAAGGTGGGATGGGTCATGGTCACAGCCAAGGGGTCAACATAACGTGGTCTGCCCAACCACATGTGACCTTGGTAAGAAGGGAAGTAACGTGGAAGCAACCACTAGGAAGACATAAATGACCGTGGCCCTCCCCGCTCCGCTCTGTTCTCCTGACCCTTGCCCTGGGCGCCACCTCGCACTGCCTGTCAGGTGTGTGTGGGGAAGAGGACCGGCCTTAGACTCCCCCACCCCCTCCGCAGCCCAACCCAGGGCTCCCTCCCAGCCTGCCCGAGCCCGGATGACCGGGACAGAGAGGCATGTTTCAGACACGCACACTGGCCCCGACAAGGACCACCATGAAGGTTTGGTGAGAGACATCAATGTGAACACAGGATAGTAGAGTTGGTTTTCAAATAAACGGACCAGTTCATTTTAAAGGACTTCACAAACAGGGGTCAATACACTTTTCTATAAAAAGCTAGACCAGCAGCCCCCAACCTCTCAGGTACCAGGGACGGGCTTTGTGGAAGACAATTTTCCCACAGACTGGAGTGTGGGGGGGGCGGGGGAGGACGACAATCCAAGTGCATCCCATTCAAGCTCACCTCCCGCCTTGCATTCGGCTGCTGACAGGCCCGGCCCGGGGCTCGCCCACTGCCTGGAGGCTGGGGGCCCTGGGCCAGACAATACACAACGTGGCCTCTGCAGACCACAGGGCCCTCCCCCGGGACCCCACTCTGCTGTGGGGGCACAGAGCCCATGCAGACCTGTGCCTGAGAGGATGGGAGTGGCTGCACCCCGTAAAATTCTACTTATGAACACAGTGATTTGAATGGCATATGACTTTCAAGTACTATCATTTTTTTAACTGTTTTACATCCATTTAAAACCGTGGAAACCATTTTTAACCCACAGGCCATACAAAACCAGGCAGTGGACAGGATTTGGTCTGCAGGCCAGTTTGTTGACTGGCCTTAAAATATAACACCGACAAGACCAAACCCGAATTTCTCTAACACCAAGCATTTTGAGGCGAACGCTCCCTGTCCCCAACACAGAGCGGAGTCAGGCCCCTCCGGCAGAAGGGCCACGGCCCAGGCAACCCCTGCCGCCCCAGGGACCCCCACTCCACCCGGCTCCCCTCTGCTGAGTACATCACAAACCGGTTTTCAGATGGATGCGCCCAGACATGCAAGGCACGTGAGGACACAGGCGGCGTTCCCGCCCTTGCGCCACGGAACAACTTGTCCCCGGCACCCGGGGACCCCACGCCACTTTTCCTCAAATCAAAGTGAACTGTTCGGTCACAAACAGCACACTCATCAAAACTGGTTTTGCTCAATATTATTTTGAAATCAGTTCCACACGTCGCGACTAAACATTTCCAGAAGCTGCGAGAAGCTCTCATCTTTGCTGACGTGATAGGATCCAGCTGACACCCCCTTCTTCGTGACGTGTGTACAAGGCTCAAATCAAAACAATACACACACGTCAGCAGCCACCTCCCTGTGGACCAAGCCTCCGGTCCAGCTCCCGTGCCCTCACGTCCTGAGACAAGTCCACTTCGCTGCCAGCACGGCCACCAAGTTCTCATGCCTGTAGCCGAGCGGGAGCCCCTCGCCGCGTGGGGATGGAGCACGCGACCGGGGCCAAGCCCTTCATTCTACTTGGGTTGCGGTGGCCCCCTACGGTGAGTGGTCGCCGGGGTGGACGGTGCAGTACACCGCCTGGAAGGACCCGCCGACAGGAACACAAGGAAAACACCCATCATGCCGCGTAAAAACGTTTGCTTGTGCAGTGCCCTGGGGGAAGGTGTGCCAGGCATGGGCGGCAATAGCAGAACCAACAGGCGCTGTGGACACAGGCTCACGTCCCCACAATGTGAAGGGGAAGGGCTTCGGGGCTCCCGCTGCCCGCCGGTGGTGGGTCCAGCTGAGCGAACACACTGTTCGGCCTCCCAGTGGCAGCAGGAGGTGCAGGGCGCCTTCGGCGGAGCGTCTGCTCAGCAACAGGACGTTCTGGAGCCCGGGATACCACCTGTTACTGGGACAGCCCCGGTGTCTGCGAAGCTGTGTGGCCCTCACTGCCACCAAGAGCAAGTGGGCAGTGTTGTCCCTGTTTTCCTTCCCAGGCGCTGCCAGCAAGGAGGGGAGAGAGAGTCTGTCTTCCGAGGCTGGGCGAGCCGCGCCAGGGCTAGGATGGGCCGCTCCAGGGCACCTCCCCGGACTTCACCTTCTTGGTCTGCCCGTTGGGCCCGGGGGGTGGGTTCTTATGTCGCTTCTTCCGCAGCTGCTGCTGCAGCCTCTCCTCCTTCTTCTTCAGGTAAGTGGCCATGTTGTCACAGGTGGCCTTGTACAGACTGCTGAAGCCATCGTTCACGCCGGCAGAGCCTGTGTGGGAGGAACAGGATTGACAGTGACTCAGGACGCCCGCCACCTCTAGCGGCAGGACCCAGCGGGCCGGCGAGGCCCTCCTGCAGCAAGCAGGGAATGAACCCGGCGACCACCCAGAGTTCTCTGTGGACTTCTGGCCCTTCTCCAGGTTGGCCTCCAGAGGGACCCACTGCTGGTTGCCACGTCACCTGGACCCCAGACTCGCTTCTAACAGAACGTGAAAGCTGGCTCTTCCAGAGACCACCTCACCTGGTGAGAAACTCCACGGGGCCCATCAGTGATGCACAGGCCTGTGCCCTACACACGTGACCTCCATCTGCCCTGCACAAGTGACTTCCCAGTCCCGCAGGCTCTCTCACCCTTTCAGAATTTTCAAGGTCAACTTGCCTTCCCTGTACTCTCTTCCCCAAGCCTCCCCCCAAACTGCACTGGAAATGGGGTCTTATCACAGAACCTCTTAGAAAAACGGCTCTGTCCGTGGCCATGGCGCCCTCACCTTCCAGCATGGCCCAGTTCCTGTGAAGATGAGCGCTGACTTTCTGTACCGCAGTGGTCTCAGGAACTATCTGGGAGGCAAAGAGGGGAACCTGTGTCAGCAGGCGCTGCTGGCGCAGTAACAGGCAGAGCTGCGGGCTCCCCACTGCGGGCCCCAGAAGAGGCACGTGACCACTCCGCAATGACCGGATGCAGCTGGCTCACCAAGCCCAGCAGCTGCCGCCTCTCATCAGGATGAAGACCCACGACATGAGGGCTGCTGGCATTTCACATGCTGGCTTGTCACGTGTGACTTTATCTACGAAGCCTGGCAGGCCTGACAGGTGCCAGCTGGTGGCATTCTGTTCACAGCCACTTGTCAGGTAAAACCACCTCAACAGCTCAGGGCTCTCTCCAGAGCACCCAGCCCAGTGCACAACTGCAAAGAACTCGAAGGTCCACAAAGACCTGCGGTCCACAGCAGTCCTGCAAGACACGGGACAGGGCCACACCCGGGGACTCCCCTAACCAGTGGGACCAGTGCCCCAGGCCAAGGCCATGCTACTCGGCAAACATCAAGGACACCAAGTATGAACCTCTCTGCTAAAAAAACCAGTGTGACCAGGGCAGGCACAGAGAAAGCATGCCAGATGGGGGTCCCCAAAAAGCCCTCTGCAGTCTCCATGACCCTGGACAGGCTAGCTGGTATCCCAGCTCCCTGGCCCCACGACCTCCACAACCCAGGACACACCCTCTGGCAGCAAGGTGTGATCAAGTGCAGAAGCATGACAGCTGTGGCCCACCCCCACCCCAGGCTCAGGGGACAGCAGGGACCCAGCACGACCCACCTGCCACCGGCCGTCCACAGGCCTGCAGAGCACGAGTGGGGCTTCCCGGCAGTCCTGCAGCACCCACAGCCCCTGGCTCTCCTGGAAAGCCACGTCCCACACTCGGTGCTGGAAAGACAGCTGCTGTCTGCAGACCAGCTGCCGTCCGGGGGCATCCAGCCGGAAGATGCAGACCACGGGGATGCTTCCCATGAGAAAGGGGGAGAGCGTCACAACTCCTGCAGCCCAACCCCACGGCTCGCAGCCCAGGCCTGCCCGTGCCGGGAACCTGGCCCCAGTCAACGTCTCAGCTGAGTTTATTATTTTAAACCTGAGCTAGAAGCGCTCACTGAGCGCTCCCCGAACCCTGGGCCACAGGCGGAGATGTAAGGAACGCCCACATCAGCAAGTCCCGGAGCAACGTGTGCGGCAGCGAGGGCAAGCGGGACAGGCCAAATAGACGGCGTGGGGAAGACAGCCCTCCCACCTGCGGGAGGCGGACAGCACACCGCCAGGCCAGCACTCTTACCCTCTCTAAGCCTGCGCCCTGATTTCTAAGACAAGCTGAGTGAGACACCCTCCCAGGACCTGTTACGGGACCAGCGAGGAGAGAACACGGAGAAGATGCTCAGGAGGAAGCAGCTGAGTGGCATGTGCTGCCCGAATCCGTCTCGTCAACCACTGGCCCTCGGGCAGGACTGAACGAGGCCGATTCCACCACCACCACTGACCCCCAGGTGGGATTGGATCACACAGGAAAGACCAGGCAGAGGCCTTGCTTCCGTTAAACCAGTGGATGTAAGGAGCATGTCAAGAACGCCAGCACAAAGGGGCCACAGCCCTCGGGAAGGGAGACCCCTGCAGGGAGCTGTGGTACCAACACACTGTGCAGACCTGAGCTGGGAAGATGATCTGTGTCATCCCCTCTTGCCAGCTGGAGGGGGCTGGGAACAGTGAGCTTACCAGTCACACAGCAGTGCCACCCAGCTGTCCTGGCTCCAGTAAGTGATCCTGGATGCAGCAAACCTCTGAAAGGGAAGTGGCGGCTCAACTGTGTGTTGGGGACCCACCGCCAACCATTCAGTGCCCACAGGAAGCGCACGCTGCTGCCAGACTGGCAGCGCCCACACATGGACCAGGAAGGAGAAAGACGATGCTAGGCCTCTCTGCAAACCGCTGCCCACCCGCTTCACAGTCCCTCCAGCATGCTGTAGCACACGGCAGAGGCCCCCCGTGGCCCTGGCCCTCTCTGGACTGTGGAATGTCTCTGAAGCCAGCCAGCAGAGTCAGTCAAAAAGCAAGGACAGGAGGGCACAGAGAACATGAGGGGGAAAGAGGAGGCTGTTCAGTTCAGACACAGCAGGGGTGAAACGCTGGATGCCAGACGACAAAAGCGGACAAGGAAGGGCCTGGCCCTCACCCGGCCCGAGCAGGGCTGCCCCCCGCTCCTGCAGGCTGGACACACTGAATGGGTCAGAAGCCTGCTCGTCCTCAGCCCGCTCCACCACCTGCTCTTCCCATTCTTAGACCTCGCTGCCGGGGCGCCAGGTTAAGTGAGGGCACAAAGATGACAGGTTGCCAGAACAAACCAGGCCTCTGTTTGCTACAACTTCCATGGCTGCAGAAGCCCAGGCAGGAGGCACCCATGGGGCAACCAGAGCAGCTGACCCAGCATCCCCTGCAGGCGCTTGGCTGGGGGTCCCAGGGGCCCTGGCCAGAGCCAGGCCCGCAGCCTGCCAGCTTTGAAGCCCAGTGAGAACGGATACCAGAGACTGGTCTCAGAGTGGACAGCGGAAACGAGAAGCCAAGCCAGGGAGCAGACAGACAAGCCCTTCACTTCACACCCAGGCCTTGTCACGCACAAGGGAGAGCTAAGCTCCCAAGGGCTGGCAGGGTGCCATGGGGGGACTGCAGGGGACTGTGCACACACAACATCCCTGGGGACAGGCAGAGGACACCCAGCTCTGAAGGCCTAAAGAGACATGATTGGGGACCCCTCGTTCCGCCCCACGAGGCCGCGGGGGGCCGTCCACGTGTGACCAACCGGGACCCAGGCTGCACAGAACTAGCTCAGGAGCATCAGAGCTGGGTATGCATGGGCATAGAATCCTGGGGACCCCTAAAGGCAGCCCATGCCTTCCCCCCAGAAAATCTCCTTGGCAACCGAAGACCCAGGTGACCTGACCAGAGGGGATCCTGAGATTAATCCGTGACAGACGACAGAGAATGCTGAGTGGGCACTCAGCCTGCTGCCCGGCTGATAAACGCACAGCCGGGCTCTCTGCTCCACTATTTTTCCCCTTTCCAAGGGGATTAGAGGCCTTTCTACAAATTAACTGTTCAATGCCAAGTGTGGTAAGATATAAATTATTTCCCACTTATTGACTAGCTGCCTTCAGAATTTGAAATACATGGTTTCTTCTAAGCTAGAAGAATTGCAGCTGCACTAACAGCAAAGAAATGTTTCCAATGTAAGACATTCTTTTCACAAGACCTGAGTGACCGGCGAGAGGCCCTCCCAGCCCCCACAACAAGAGACAAACAAGGTTACCTTGTCGCTCCAGGGGCCTGCTGGCTCCTGCAGGCTGGCCAGGTGACAGCAGTGCAGCTCACGCCCGTGTGTGTACTCCCAGAGCCTCAGGGTGCGGTCCTGCACACAGGGAGGGATCAGCGCCCCTCAGGGGCGGGCATCCCCACAGGCCCACGGGCTTCTACCAGGTCACATGGACGGTAACTCTGAGACAGCCAGGGCACCCTTCTCACCCGGCAGCTCTCTACTCTAAAAAGCTCATGCAAGGCATTACGAAAAACAGGTGGCCCCACACGACAAAATGGGCAAAGGACACACAACCACCTGATGTCACATGCCAGGCTCTACTCAGGGCAGGTATGCACACATACACAGGCACATCAATGAATACCAGGTGTTCGCACAGGAGACACACGTAGGGCTACTGAGCGTGCGTCAGCAGCAGTAGGGACGGAAGCCAGGTCCCTATGCGGCTCAGAAAAAGGTTCCTTGTACCAACTGTTTGAACTGGGTCCCGATGTGATCACAGAGGCAACAACAGCCCTCAGAACGGACTCTCCTTGCACACCCACCCTAGCTCTGCACACACACGGACATGCACCTACACACACACAGACCCGAGCATGCAGTCACAGGCCAGGAGCAAGGCCTAGCCGGCTCTGAAATGCAGAAAACAAGCACCACCTAGTGGGCAGCCACCAGTGAGGAGCATGCTGGCTTCCGAGCCACAGCCAGGAACAAAAGACAAGCCCCAGCTGGGTCCCAGAGAGGACCTGGAGGGGCGCGAGGTGGGGCAGCACACTTACCCCGGACGAGGACAGCAGCAGGTCGGGGTGGTCGGGCACCACAAAGATGCGGCTCACAAACCTGTGGCACAAGGAGAAGCAGGGTGACCTGGGGTTCCAGTGCTGCTGTGACACCGAGCTGCTGTGATACCGCATGCCCTGTCACCTTGCTGAAGAGCTTCCACCCCCGCCCCCCCTGACACCAACTGCGGCTGACACAGAAACAGGGGCAGCCATGTGAAGGGTGATGAAGGAGCTCGGGGGGAGCAACACCACGGCCCCCACAGAGGACGGCCCGCAGGCCCGGCGAGGCCCCCAGCCACGCCTGCCTGGGGGACCCATGCTGTGTGCTCACTGCTCCCAGCTGCCCTGTGTGGGGACAGTGGGGACAGAGGAGCAGCCACACTGCCCAGGGGCCAGAATCAGACCAGCTGTCCCTCGGCCCAAGGAACTGCCTCCCCAGACACCAGCTCAGGTCGGGCAGTCGGAAACTGTGAGGGGATGCAATCAGATCCCTAACGCACAAGCCCCAGGACCCCTGGGGATGAGCACCCTCCCTGGCCCAGGCCTAGGCCTGGCCGCGGCCCCCACCAGGCTGCCTTCTGGAAGGTTCTCATCTCTCAGGAGCTCAACTGCAGAAGGGACAGCGCAGTCATGGGATCGCTTCAGCCTGTATCCACCTTGATGCCTCAGGACGGGAGTCACCTCAGACACACCAGGAAAGAAGCGGCAGCCAGTTTACGCAGCTTTTAAAGGAGATTCTTAATATTCACTGATGACCCGTGACTTACTCACAGAAGCACCTGCTGAGCACCTGCTGCTTGCCAGATGCTGTGCCCGGGACCAGAGACGGTGACAGACAAGAGCAACAGAGGCCCCGCCCGGGGAGGGGGCCCGAGAGACAGGTGGGACACAGGAGTGTCGGCAGAGGGCTCTGCATGGCACTGGCCAGCAGAAACACAGCACTGGGGTCATCTTCAAGTAGCTACTAGTGACCATGCCACCCAACAAAACAAACACAGGTGGCATGAACCACCGGGCTGTGCTCTCACTTCACTCCACATGTCCAAAGCACTATCATTTCAATCTGCAATCGGTGTACCTCGTTAATAACGGGCCATTTCTGCATCCCTTTTCACACTAAGTCTCTGAAATCGGTGTTCTGCACGATGGGCATGTCTCACTGCCGACTGGCCCGCTGTGACTCCAGAACTGGATGGCACAGGCTAAGAAGCACAGTGGAGGGGGGTGGGGGTGCGGGGTGGCCTTCCTGGGACGGCGGGTGGCGGGCAGTGGAGGGAGGAAGGGGAGCACAGGGGCAGGCACTGTGAGGAAGACTGTGCCCATCGGGGGAAGCCGCACGTGCAAAGACACCGAGATGGAGGGGTCCAGAGGCCCCAGCAACGCACAGCAACAGGCAAGGGCTGGAGGACTGGCAGACCGTGAGAACTGCAAGTGCCGACTAGGGACAGAATAAAAGCCAAAGTAAGCTGTCTCGATGTACAAACGCAGTGCTGTCAACCTTTCTAAAGGTCATGTGTACAATCCATTCAAAATCAAGGAGGCAGGAGCAACCTCGGAATTGAACAGCATCCCCCCAATGTCTCCCGCTGCCTCAAATAATGTTTTAATTATCTCGGCCAATCAAACTGGTTTTCCTCTGTGTACGTTACTCTTAGCCTTCTGCCTGAGAAGAGAGCGTCACTCAGAAACACCTCCCTTCCAGAACACCAAAATTCACCTGCAGAGAGAGCGCCCTCACAGAAGTCAGAGACCACGACGAGATTCTTTAATTCATGGACAGGTAAAACTGCTCGAGTGTGCTCCTTGTCCCCACCTTGTGACTGCTCACCACTGCTGATGTCTACACTGAGAAAGTGGGGTGTTCTAGAACAAGCCACCGGCCACCGCAGGTGGTGGGTAACAGACAAGGAGCAACTGCTCCATGCAGGGGCTTTCAGCTGATGCACGTGGGCCCTGCCAGCAGACGGCCAGCGCCATCCAGGGTGATGGGACACTGGGGTCTAAGGCTTCAGTGCCAATAAGAAAACTTCCCCTGGCAGGAGAACCTGAAGGTCACGCTGCCACAGGGCCTGGCCCAGAAGCCGCACACGGGATGGTTTCCTCCTCCCTCAAGGCTCACAGGCTCAGCCGGTGTCTCCACCTGACCACCAGCTCCTCAGACGAAGGGCCCGCTCCAGGCTTAAACCCAAGCTCCATCCCCAAACCCGAGCTCCGTCCCCGGAAGGCCGAGGGAAGGGAGGGAGACTCACTCAGTGTGCCCCAGGCAGAAGGCTTCGATGTTGTGCGGAGCCAAGGCCCAGCTCACCCGGATCTTCTCGTCCCGGTCAGCAGTGAGGACGTAGCGGTCATCAGGGCTCACGGCCTACGTACAAAGGTGAGGAAGGGCAGGTCTGCTCATGGGACAGCCAGTGCCACTCCACTCCTGCTACCCCTCAGTCCCCCTTGTCTCCAGCCCCTTCACTCCTCATCCCCACAGACACCCTCTCAACACAATTCATTATCACTGCCTCCACCTTCCGGTCTCCAGCACCAAGACACCTCCCTCTCCTTCCTATTTCACATGTCCCCCTGTCCAGCCAGGCACCAGGTCCTGGCTCCCCCTTGTCACATCTGTGTGTCCCTGTGGGGCCTTACCCCAGCTCCACCACCCGTGGCTGGCCCTCACTTGGCCTCTTGGTGCCTGCAGTGGGCCAGCTCCCGGACACCGAGGTGATGCCCATGAAGCGCCAAGAGCAAACCCTGACCTCCTGGCTGTGCGTGTTCTTCTCATACCCCCCATCCCCTCCACCCCATCACCCCAATCCGGGCCTACCCTCCCACCCAGAACCAGCGCCCCTCCTCATTCGCCCCCCCCCTTCCTGGGATCCACTCCTCCTGCTCCCAAACCTGCAGAAGCCCGCAGAGGGCTGCCCTCTATAGGAGAGCCCACTCCCACCTGGACACTCAGGGCGGCCCTCCCGCCTGCACCCCACCTGAGTGTGACCAGAGCCGAGTTAAGACGCTCTTTGCCCACATACCACATCCAGTAGCATGGACAGGTGCCCAAGTTCAAGTCTGCCACACTGGTGTGGCTCCAGCACTGAAAAGGAGTAAACGTCCCCAGACTTGTCTGCCACCAGAACCTTCTCCTCAGAAGCTGTGAACGTCAGGGCCGTGCACCTCCTCACCACAGTCCTGGGGGGCCACAGAGACGCCCAAGGTTGGGTGACACAGGCTGACACAGGCCGGGGCAAGATCCTGCAACGGACCTGTCAGCCATGCATCTGGTGGCAGCACCAGCTGGCCGGCACGCACTGCTCCAGATGTTAGCTTGGAATGGCCACTGAAGCCTAAAAAAGCACAATTCCCCAACTCGCATCCAGAGAGAACCCTGTACTACTCAGGGGCAGAGGGACAAATGGACAGAAAAGGCCAGAGGATTGCAGGAGGAGACACTATTCGTAAACATGGTGAAAAAATTAACAAAAGAGAAACAATCGGTCAGGTCTGGGGCAAGATCCATCAAACTTCTCCCAGTTCTGTGGTTTCGATGGTGGCCTGTGCTCGCTCTAATGGGCTAATTCAGTGGCTGTGATGGCCCAGCCACAGCTTTCCAGAGCAGCAGCTGGGACAGTCCTCCCAGAGTGCTGGGCCTGGCTTCCAAGGAGCTTGCCCAGCGCAGGGGGAATCCAATTCCCCCTTTCCTGCACCCCCCACAGCACCCAGCTTCCGCTCAGCTCCACGCCGTGTCCCTCTGTCTTGTGCCAGATGGGGGCTCTCGGCTGCTCGGGCTCCAATCAGCCCAGCAATGGTTCTGGCACACAGCCCACTCTACAGAGTGGGCTCGGGGGTTGGGTCTGGGGAGTCGAGTAGCAGCGGGGGAGGAGAAGGGCAGGTCACAGGATAGGACAGGCCAGCTGGTTGCCCCAAGGGAAGGCAGGGGCCACAGCAATCTTCAGCCTGAGCAGGGTCTCAGCACTTTCCCCTCCCTTCATGGGGTGACTGGGTTTATAGTCCGCTCCCACCCTGGAGCCAAAGTGACCCAGTTCAGGACCTGGCTCTGCCCTTCCAGTCTGAGTGGGGTCACCTTCCAGACTGCCTGCCAGCAGATGGGGAGGAGAACAGCGCCCCCACCCCGTCACAGACCCTGAGGGAGCGACTGCTGCTGTGTGTTAGTTGCATATTGTAACTGTTAATGTCACTACTGCTACTGGCATGCAAGTGTAAGCTGTGCGTTCCACATTGTAATTATTCAACATTAGTATTTCATACCTGACACTCAGACATTGCCATGGTTTTGTACGGAAAAGAATCAGACGCTTACTGTCATCCGTTAAAGCAAAATAGCGTCCAGACTTGGAGAAGGTGGACGCCAGGATCGTGTCACTCCCCTTCTCCACAGGCTGCCCGTCCTCCCTGAGAAGGAGACAAGGAGAATGGTGAGGCCCTGCCCGAGTCACCATGGCTGCGTTCCTCCAGGCCAGCTCGTTCACTTGTAATGTGAGCAAACACAGGAAATGCCACGAGGTTCATGTAGCCAAAATATCGGACCCATTCAGGGGACATTAGGAGAGTCGCACAGTTCTCATGTTTAAAGAGTAAAACCTAAAGAGAAAAATCTCTCAGTGAACACATCAACATCCGGAGACCTGAGCTGGAAGGACCTTCCGTGACCACGTCGCGGCTGTGAACTCCGTCGCAGCTGTGAACTAACTCAAGACTAGAGGCAGGGCCCTGGCTGGTGAGGCTCAATGGGATGCACGTCGTCCCACAAACCGAAGGGCCTCCAGTCCAATTCCCAACTGCAGCACACGCCCTGGGGTGTGGGCCAGGCCCATGGCTGGGGGTGCGCAGGAGGCTGCTGATCCATGTTTCTCTCCCCCTCTTTCTCCCTCCCTTCCCCTCTCTAAAAATAAATAAAGTATCAGAAAAACAAAAAAGACTAGAGGCAAAAATTAAAACAATTTTTAAAAAAATAAATGAGCCACAAGACCAATTCTACTAAAGAAAGTCACCATATAAAATCATGACACTCCGCTTTTCTTACTTTTCAATTAGCTAAAGTTAATTTCAGACAACTGCCTCCAATGCACTTGAGACTGAATGCATTATTTCAAGATGCCAGCAAAATCATTACTGACAGAAATAAATTATTTTTGAAAAGTCCTAATATGTTTAATGCGTATTTTGAAAATTAGCCCCCCAGTTCTTTCCTGGGGTGGTTTACCCACACGGCAAGGTGAAGAGAAATGCAGACAATGACTCCTTCTTAGGCTCTCAGGTCCCATCAGTCAAACCACGACTCAAGCCCTGAAGAGACTTCCCCATCATCTCACCCTTTATTCTCCTGTGGCTTCTTTTCCGCGGTACTGCAATCATACATGAAGAGGCTGTCATCGTCACTGAAGGAAATCATAGAAAGACTTTACAAGGAGCACTTTGTTCATGAAAACGCTCATTTCTTTTAGATCCCTGGAACGGAAAAGTATTCTAAAGGTCTTAGCCACAAGAGGAAACCGTCCAGTCTAGGTACACTACTTCGGAGAACAGTCACAGAGCTCTTTATTTTGCCTTATCTGTTCAGATTTGCCATATACAACAGGCACAGCTCCGTACACAAATCAGTTTAGTAGAACAAGCAAGAACAAAAACTCAACAAGAAGTAATACACAATTCTTTCAGGCACTAGGGCAAAATGGTTATGTTAGATGAAACTGTGTTGATACTATTTTCAGTGGGGTTTTTTTGTACCCAAATTTAAAACTACCATTTCCTGTTTGGGAAGAATGTCTCACCTACCCAAAAAAGCTCGCGTGACTGCCAAGCACAGACCAATGCAGGCGCCAACCATCTCTCCCATCAGACCTAAAGTTCTCTACCACTTACCCCACCCCCACCTCCAGTGCCTGGAACAGGGGAGGCATTTTGTACAAATTCATAGCCTAAAAGGACTGTACTTTAAACTCTTTTTTGCATGGAACACTGAAGCACAAAAAAGAGAAACAGCCCTCCAAGTCAGAAACTGTGCCGGCCACTAGTGAAGCAAGCAGATGGGTTGTGATACTTCTGTGTCACGTGTGAGCTACTGGGAATCTCTTCAAGGATGTCCAACCCACAGCCCGGAGGAGGCCCAAAATGGCTAAGAATGCGGCCCAACACAAAATCATAAATTTACTTAAAACATTACAAGTTTCTGTGTGTGTGTGTATGTGTGTGATTATGTGTTGCAGTGTATTTAATGTATGACCCAGGGCTGCCAAAAGGTTGGACCTGCAAAGGAACCTGGGATACATGCCAGGTTTGCGAGTAGATTTTGTGCAAAACCTTAATTTAACATCAAGGTGGATTTCTGAAGCCAACCACTGAACACTGACGCTGCCGGTGCACCTGCTCGACACGTCATCCGTTTCACTTATGAGAATCGAATCCTCAGGAGAAGAAACAAGGGGCAGGCACTGGCCAAGGCTAATACCCATGAGGCTCCTGAATCAAGCCTACTAGAACAACAACAAACACTTCCTAATTAAAAAATCCCGGGCATAGTGTACACACTGGGGAATGATAAGGAAGGAGGGTTAAATTGGGGGAAGCAAAAGCAGAAACGTGTGACGGGCCATCAGGGAGTTGAGCCCTGCGGCTTCTGCACCACTGAGGAAGGAGTTGTAACATTAAAGACCTTCGACTGCTGAAGAATAAGTACGGCAAGGAATCGACGGATGCTGAAGGGTATGAGGCAGCAGGTCCCACCGCGATGAGAGAGTGCACCCAGAGATCAGTAAGCCCCAGTGTGTTCCCAAACAGCAAATCCCTGCAACCAGGCAGGCCAGGGGCCGCCTTCCTCCCAACGTTCGCGCCTGGAGGGCGTGCCCACGACGCCACGTAGGCCCCAACCTGGCCCTACACGCCCCGTGTACCCGGGTCCCGCCCAAACTCCGCAGATCTCTGCAAAAAGCGCCGCAGACAGACACCGAGGGGGCGGGGCCCTAGGCCGGGGGCGATCGGTGCGCCGGGAGCGGTTCTTGGCAGAAGGGCTAAAAGGACTGGCACTCCAGGGCAGCGCAGGCACACGGCCGGACCGAGGCGGCAGCGAAGGCCGTGGCGGGACTCCCGCGGGGCACCTCCGGGAAACTGGGATCTCCAGGCCCGGTCGCACGCCCGCAGCATCGGTTCCCTGCTGCAAGCCTAGACCCCTCACCTGCTTGCAGTGGTAGTGGCCAGGAACCGGCTGCCTCCCCGCACCACCAGCGCTTGCCCGCACAGCGCCAACCCAGCGGAACTAGCCATCAGCCGGGTCCTGAGGCCTCTACCCACGTGCGCAGCCCCGAGCTTCTTCCGGATGGCGCCGGAAAATGACGTTCGCGCAGACGCCTCAAGGTGACGTAATCCCGGTCCGTCGGCGCGGAAGCTGCAGCCCAGGGCGTGCGTAGGAAGTTTTCCGCGCGCTCTCTCGGTCCAGTAACCCTGCTTTCGTGTCTCTGCGGTCCGGGTTTGTTGCTGACCAAGTTTGTTGGGGTGAAATTTACACTCCACACGTGGTAACGCTGCTTAATGTGCGGCTTTTCTCCAAAATGAGTAAGGACGTTTCGGGATCTTTCTCGTGCTGTATCTGGACCTGCTAGGTTCTCAGTAAGTAGTTCTTCAAGAAATGTAAAAGTTGGAGCTCAGATCCAGGTCCAGGACGTGGTGTCTGCGTGCGCGTGTGAGGTGGGCCCAGAGCTAAGGTTGAGGAAAGTGAGCCCTTGTAACCTGCGCACTGAGACAAGTCATAGGCGCCCCAAGTGCTATCTTGGGTTGAAAACCCAAGATACGGTTCCACCAGTATTTGCTAATAATGCGACAACTAATTGACCGTTGCTTATAGAGTGGCATCGCTAGTCACCAGTTGAACAGATTTCTCGGGACACGTGGTCCCCATATCACACCCTCTTCATCTACTCAGATTTCTCTCCTGGACGCCCCTTCTCTCCATCTCCATGGCTTTTGCCATCACCTAAACCACAACAGTCCTGCTGCTGATCTCCACATCTTTTTTACCCAGAGATCCACTTCTCACACTACAGCCAGAGAGATATTTTTGCAACATAAATCTGAGTGTTTTACCCCCCTGCTTAACCCAAACAGTGGTTTCTCATTGCTCTCAAGATAAAGACCAAAGCCTAATCGTGCACTGTGAAACTACATGCGCTCTACCTCTGACCTGCCGCAGCCTCCTTCCCTCCTCGTGCTCAGACCAAAACTGCCCCTCCAGTTCGTTGGCCCAATGCCTTACTAGCCACAGGCCCTTAGCACATGCTCTTCTGCCTGCCTGCCTGCCTGCCTGCCTTGAAACGATCTCCCCACCATCCCATCTTTTCACCTTCCCTAATTAATTCCAGTCACTCAGTTTCACACCAGTGGAACCCTCACTTAATGAGGGAAGGCTTCCCTGATCTTCCATTGTTTGCATTCACTGCACCATGATTACTTGTTTTATGTCTGTCACCAGGCTACAAACCCCATGAGGACAGGGACTGATACCTAGTTTTGTAGGTCACTGTTGTCACAACTTGCAGCACAATACCTGGCGTGAAGTCAGTGCTCAGTCAATATTTGTAAATAAATGGAACAACTAAATGACTGTCTTAAAGAGCAGCTCTTTTTTTTACCTATGAGCAAGGAATAATGATGAGCAGGAGGCTTAGGAAACCAGGAGAATGCTGACCCCAACCCCACTTCTGTTCAAACCAAGGATGAACGTACACCCAAAGTTGAAGGTAGCTGCTGCTGGCAAAGCAGAATGCTTGGGGGAAAGCTGGGCTCCCTTAAAGTCAATGAGGTAAATGGGAATTTTATGGAGACAGAATGGAAGACAGCTTGTGTATCGTGGGATGAAGGACAGAGGGTAAGGGGAGTGGTGGGGGAAAAGGGGCAGCCAAGTGAAAGACTGACGCATTGCAAGGGCGAGATCACCAGGGGAGGGGTTGACACTGGGCAGTAACCACAGGGGAAAAGGAAACATCAGTGTTTCTGGAAGTGAATCTGCTACGAACATCACTGCTATTCAGCTAACCTGACTGGCACTGTGAAAGTCCATATGCATGGTCTGGGACATTTTTCAGGCATACAGGGGAATTCACACAGTTTCTGTTCTGGATGGGATGACAACTCCAAGACCACAGAGGTTCTAGAGGGACCCATCATCACCAGGCTCGTGAGCAGATGAAACTTCCTTTATGTCGTGGTTTAGATCTCACAAAATGTCCCACAACACACATCATAGCATATGCAGTGAACTATGGTTGCGTATTTAAATTGACCTTAAAGCTTTGCTACCTTCATGCTGTAGGTTGCAGCCTTGAGAAATAAGTACGATTAAAAAAAAAACTGCTTGGAGACTGAATAGTGAAGACTGAAGAGGAATCACACATTTTATTATGAGACACAGAGCATACGTACATGAAAACACAGAGAACTGTGCTTGGCCATCAGATGTAAGCACCATTTAATCACACTATCAGAGTTTTTTTTAGTAAGTCACTTGCCTCGGACCTTGAATTCTTATAGTACTTGTGCCAAGATTTATTTACCTCAAGATCTTTTTCTCCTCAAATTCTTTGGTAACCCATACCGTTTTAATTTTAAAAAGTCTGAATCGAAATGTTTTTAAGCTTATGCTTTTCACACCCATCCCTTTTGTGTCTTCCCAATGCTACTTATTTTATTTTGGTGTGAGCTACCAGATAATAATGTATGTCTACAAAAGTATTGTTTAAGTGGGTTTTATCATCCTTACAATTACATATAAGTAAACTATAAAGCTCATCATTACTATGATACCCTGATATTTTACTGTCCGATTATTTTAGCATATTACCCAAAACTCACATTTCAGTTCTGTATAATTTGTCTGTTTTTTTAAAGATTTTATGTATTTATTTTTAGAGTGAGCAGAAGGAAGGGAGAGGAAGAGAAAAATCAATCAGTTGCCTCTTACACGCCCCCAGTGGAGACTGGCCCACAACCCACACCTGTGCCCTGACTGGGCACCACACCAGCGACCCTTTGGTTTGCAGGCCGGCACTCAACCCACTGGGCCACACCAGCCAGGGCAATTTGTCTGTTTTTTAAAAAAAAATTCTTCATGTGCCTAGTTAAGTTATTGCCAAGTTTTCACTTCCATGAAATTTTAAAAACAATGAAAGCACCTGACTGGTGTAGCTCAGTGGATTGAGCACGGGTCTGCAAAGCACACGATCGAGGTTCGATTCCCAGTCAGGGCACGTGCCTTGGTTGCAGGCCAGTTCCCAGCAGGGGACACAGGAGAGGCAACCATACATTGATATTTCTCTCCCTCTCTCCTTCCCTTCCCCTCTAAAAATAAAATGAATAAAATCATTTTAAAAAAATGAAAGCATATTAATCATTTATAGCTTGGATAAAAATGGAAAGCTATTTGGTTTTGTACCATCTCTCGGTACTTTTCTCAAAGAAGTTAGCTGTGTTGTTGGTAACTACTGCTACCCACTGCCATAAAAATGCATAACAAGCATGAAATTTTTTGGCCTAACACAGCTTTTACTTAGCCCATGAGTCTGTAGCCCGGCCATCCGGGCAGCACTTAGCTGCCTGGTTCTTCTGGTGCCGGATGACCTCTGCTCTGTGTCTCTGGCCAGCCCCTCGGTTGGACGAGAACTCGCCGGTCCGAGCGGCCTAGAATGCCTGGTCTCTACTCCACCCAGCCTCTCCACCAGAAGGGCAAGGGGCGTGGTCCGCATGACGAGCACCACCAAGGAAAAGGCCACAAACCTCGTGAAATGGGGCACTGTTCTGTGTGTACTTTTGACACATGCTGTTTGCCATAAAAAAGTCACAAGGAGCCCTGGCTGGTGTAGCTCAGTGGATTGAGCACGGACTGAGAACCAAAGGGTCACAGTTTGATTCCCAGTCAGGGCACATGCCTAGGTTTGTGGGGGCCATGTGAGAGGCAACCACACATGGATGTTTCTCTCCCTCTCTTTCTCCTTCCCTTCCCCTGTCTAAAAATAAAAAAAAAGAAAATATTTCTTAAAAACTCACAAGGACAATAAGAGCCAAGGGGTAGGGAAATAAATTGCCCCTTCTGACGAGAGGCACAGCAAGTCACATACAAAGGGTCTGGACAAAGGGACCCATGGAGAACTGAGGCCATTTTTACAGTCACATCTACCACAGTCTGTCCTCAGGCCCCAGTGATTCAGGTCTGTTCACCTGAAAAGCACTCACCTCCTCCCAAGATCCCGAGGGGCTCGTCCACCCCCAGCCTCAGGCTCAAAGGCCAGGGTCTCGGGGTCTGCACGAGGTTGGATGCCGCTCCTCAGGTGCAGCTCCTCTGATCCGGGGAACTACAAACTGACGTGCGGAGTGGCCTCCCCTCCTGCCAGCCTACGCTGGTGGACTGGAGAAGGGTAACCACAGAGAACGCTTCCACTGGGAAGGGGACGCACGGGACACAGAGCAACCAGTCTGCGGCAGTTCTGAACCCCACAGGGAGGTGTCTGCGGGGCACCCAGGGGTGGCTCCTTGATGAGGTGCGTTGGCTCCTGGGAGTGTTCCCCCAGGCGACATCCCAACCTGGCTCTTGCCTCTGCCCTCTGGAATACCCCTCCTTTTCCAGCACCTTCTTGGTCACTTTGAAATATATGCCCTTTGAGCAACTCTCCTAAACCTCTTCCTGCCCTTAGCAAGCTGGGGACCCAGAGGCCATTTTTCACTTTAAACTGCCCAGGCCCCTTGAGCCAGCAGGTGGTTCTTTGTTCAATACAGCTCCCCAAGAGACTGCAGGATGTCGGCATCGAGGCTGAATAAGACACACCCTTTGTCAGGTCCCCCACTCAGCAACAGTGGAGCATCCATCCACAAGCAAACGTGCCTTTGGGGGAGCTGGGGGTCCAGCATCACATGCCAAGGAACCAGGGCATCACCCCCTGTGCATCAGATGACAGGCATACAGACCTTGGCCCCAGCTGTGGAGGCGGCAGTGGTCCACAGACTGCCTCCAGCCCCTCTTGGCCAGTCTGGGAGCCCCTGGGAAACACCATCTTGGACAGTCACCCACAAAGAGAGCCTTTGCAAGAGTCCAGCTTTCCGGTGGACAAGTTCCAGCACATTGTTCCAGCATGTACGTATATGAGCTTGGTGCATTGGAGAGGGTAAGAGAACAGTGTGACTTTACCGGCACCACTGCTCCCCTGAGGCAGCCCAGCTTCGGGTCAAGAGAGACCTTCTCACCCATGCCTTCTCCCACAGGAGAAGGTGAGAGCGCTGAGTGAGCACCCAGCTTCCCCAGCTGTGCCAGATGCTGCCAAGGAGGTTTTTTTCTCTCCTGCCCTGACCAGAGTACCAAAGAGCGAGGCTGGGAGAGCAGGAGATAAAATTAAAGGGATACCAACATTGCTAAATGCATCATAGACTCTATCAAGCAGCCTGCCCATGAGCCCCTAGAGTCACCTGCAGACCCCTCAGCTGGCCCACAGGCACCCCAGCACCCACCCGACACACCTCATCCACACACAGTGCCACCCTGCTCGTTCCCAGTGGAGGTAAGAGCAAGTCCAGGCAAAGGAACTGTGTGCACAGACAGAGCAGGGGCCCACATTGGTGGGTGGAGGAGAGATAACAAGGTGGAGCTGTAGCACCACCCCCAGAAGATAAAAGCACCCACCTTTCGCATTACAGGGTCCACAGAAAGACAGCCAAGCTTAGGAATTCCACCACAAGAGGGAGCAAGAGACGTGGAGCAGAGGAGCAGAGGTGTCCACACAGGGTCCGAAAGAAGGTGTTTCTCCCTGAAGGCAGTCAGTGCAGACATGGAGGTGAGTGCTCCTTCAAAGGTGAAGACAGCGACACAGACTTCAAAGAACCTGACAAATTCAGGAAACATGACATCACCAAAGGATCACAATAATCTTTCAGTAACTTATCTCAAAGATGTGGTGATCTGCAATTTTCTCAAGAAATAATTCAAAATAGCTGTTTTAAGGAAACTCAGTAAGATACCAGAAAACAAACAAGACAGCTCAATGAAATCAGTAAAACAGCACATTAAAAAATGAAAGTTTAACAAAGACAAAAATAATTTAAAAAAAAAAAAGGAACCAAAGAAAAATTCTGGAGCTGAAGAACACGAATGAAATGAAAAAAAAAAGAAAGAAAGAAAGAAAAGAAAAGGTAATAGAGAGCAGTAACAACAGAATCCAGCAGAAGAAAGAATCTGGTGCGGCTCAATGGATTGAGCACCAGTCTGCAAACCAACAGGTCACTGGTTTGCTTCCCGGTCAGGGCACAGGCCTGGGTTGTGGGCCAGGTTCCCAGTTGGCAGGCAAGAGGCAACCAATTGATATTTCTCTTGCACAGTTATGTTTATCTCCCTCCCCCTCTCTCTAAAAAGTAAAGTAAATTAAATAAGAATCTGTGAGTCAGAAAACAGGAACTTTGAAATTCCAGTTGGAAGAGAACAAAGGCAAAAGAAATTCTGCGTGATCTACGGAGTGCTGACAGAAGGAACGATTTGCAAATCATTGGAGGTCCAGAAGCAGACGAGAGGGAGAACAGGACAGAAAGCTTATTTAAATAAATACTGACTGAGAACTTCCCAAATCAGCAGAGAGATTTGGACATTCAAGTTCATGGGGCTCCTAAGTCAAACATGAGTTAAAGAAATCTCAAAGAAGCATAATAAAACTCTCAGGCATCAAAGACAGAGAAAATCTCAGAAGCAGCAAGAGAGGAGGATCTTGTAATTTACAAGCTATCCCCATAAAGCCTTCCGCAGATGTCTCAGCCGAAACCTCCCAGGCCAGGAGGGAGTGGGATGAGATACTCAATGTGCTGGAAGAAAACAGTGCCAAGCAAGAGTTTCCTCCCAACAAAGTCGCACTTCAGAAACAAAGGAGCAATCGACTTTCCCAAACAAGCAAAAACGGAGGGAACATGTCTCACGTGCCCTGTAAGAAGTACTAACAGGACTTCTTCAAGGGGAAATGAAAGGATACTAACTAGCAACATGAAAACACAATTAATATACAATACCAGGGTTAAGGTAAGTTTATACAGTCAGATTCAGAACACTCTAATACTGCCATTAAGGGGTGCGTTAGCCACTTAACTCTAGTTTAAAGGTTGGAGGACAAGTGTATTGAAAATAACTATGGCCACTATAATTTGTTCATGAAGGCGGATGCAAGTTCTATCTCACCATCAGTGGTCCTTCCAGAATGACTCAGAGTTGGGTCATTTATGCAAGATTCTCATAGACCGGATCTTGCTGGACAAACCTATTCATTGTTCAGTGTTCAAGAAGATAGATATTGGAACCTACTTTTTTTTCCATTAAAAAGTGAGCATCTAAAACTATAATAGAACGTTGGAGTACCAAATGAAACAAAGTATTTGTAGGGCTTTTTCCCATGAAAGTGCATTATGAAATAATTTTATACATATCAAAAATATACAAGTAAAATAGCAAACACTCGTGTACCTACAACACACCCGAAGAAATGTTACCAATGGAACTGAAGCTGTAAGGCTCCCTTCCACGTGGACCTCACCCCAGTTCCCCCCACCGCCTCCAGAGGGAGCCATTATCCTCTTCCTCAGTAGGAAACTGTCTTCTGGACACTACTTCTTTACGAATTAAAGGACTTCCTAGTTTGTGGTTTGTCTTTAATTTTTATAGTGCCTTTTGCCAAACATAAATTTTAATTTTTTGAAATTTTATTTACTGATTTGAGAGAGAGGCAGAGAGACATTGATCTGTTGTTCCACTCATTTATGCATTCATTGGTTGCCTCCTGTATGTGCTCTGACCTGGGATCAAACCCACAACCTTGGTGTGTTGGGACGATGCTCTAACCAACTGAGCTACCCCAGCAGGGCCAGAAATTTTCATCTTAATGTAGTTAAATAACTTGGAATGTCCTGGACCACAGAAAGTGTGTGTGTGTGTGTGTGTGTGTGTGTGTGCACTTAGCCCCAAACTCAAGAAAGAGTAAGGGTGGAGGAGGGCAAAGGAGGAAAAATTGGGACAACTGTAATAGCATAATCAATAAAATATAATTTTTAAAAAAGAGAAAGAGTAGCCCTGGAGACATTTTCTTCCCTGCCCAGCACAGTGCCCAGACCAAGACAGACACATTTCCCGTGGCCTTTTTTTGTGAGCAGGTGGCTTTGCCCAGGTTCCCCTTGTCAGCGAGGGGCGGCTCTGCAAGGGCCCCCTCCACTTTCCAGCCCGATCCCAGGCCTTCACAGACCAAAGCCTTGTCTCCCCTCCTGGTATCGGTTAAACCAAGGCTCTGGCTCACTGAAATCAGCAAATGATCCCTGGGCAGCAGGCATCTCCTGGCCTCTGGGTTCTATTTTTTGGTCCTTGGTCCTTGGGGACACACTCTTCCTATGAAAACGTGATCACACTAGACCAAGATGGGGTACACGCAGAAGACCCTGGTGGACACAAAAAGCAAGTCCACTCAGGAGGTGCGCATGCTCAACCCAGGCTTGGGAACTCCCCCAGGAGCCCAGAAAGACGTGAGCTTCAAGTGTCTTACTGCCCAGCGATCATGGACAAGAGACAGCAGGCAACGGGGAACGGAACTGGACATTTGATCAGAACTGGTGATTTAAATTATGCTTGTAACATTTTTCCCAGAATTGCTAAATGTTCTGTAGCCCAAGGGTTTTTCCACAGTATCTAGTGGCCAAATACTGCCAGAAAAAGAAGTCATTACATGTTTTAAAAGTCTTAAGCACCCCCAGTTTCACTTAAATTTTCCTTATTTTTTTCTTAACAAGGCTTTAAAATGTACTTTTCCTGTATGCTGAGCTACCTGTTTTTATTCTTTTTTTAAGGTGGATTTTATTCTCATTCAAGAGAGAAGGGAAGGGAAAGAAATGCCAGAGCGAGAAACACTGATCGGATGCTTCCTGCACACCCCCAACTGGGGATTGGGCCCGCAACCTGGGCATGTGCCCTGAGTGTGAATCGAACCCGTGACCTTTCAATTGTGGGCCTACACTCTAATTAACTGAGCCAAGCCAGCCAGGGCTTTACTCTTTTATTAAAAAGAAAATTTATTAGCTTAGCAAAGCATACTATATAGGGTCATCCTAAGTGATATTTTTAAACCAGTTATTGAAAGTGGTTTATAAAAAATTTAAAACATATAAGTGTATTAATTTACATAGGATAGTGGCATAATACATTTCCTTTGGGGCTTAAAAGAATATACATATCAGACAAAGATGCAGAGCTTGGGTATGAGTGCAGATGGTGTGATATCGAAGTGTTTTTATTTTCTTCTTGGACCCAAACACCTTTGAGTTCACAGCTTGGGTCCCAGTGATGCTCCAGTTATCTAGTTATGTTTTTAAAAGTTTAATTCACCCTTAGGATACATATGGGAGAATTTCTAGTTTATATAAAACTTTGGGTGGTTAATAAAAGAATACAGACAAATACAAGTTTTGGAGGTTATTCACCGCAAAATAAAAGGCCACAATGAAAAGCAACAACCCTTTATTTAGGATCAAGGGTAGCTATTGCAAAGGCACTGACTCAGGTAGAAAACTAGTGTTCCAATAATGAGACTGAGGCAAGGGAGGGGTTTGAAAAAAGACAGGGAAATAATTGCATGAACAGAAAGAAGGAATTTGTATTGGTGCTAATAAGCTAAATTATTAGCTACATATAGCTGTTTACTAATTCTAAAGAATGTCTTTAGTTTACAGTCCTAGAGTCAGGAGGCATCCTTTCTTGTTAACTTCACAAATTGTTTGGAAGACAGTGCTGTTCCAGCCCAATCCAAATGTTATTTTGCCCAGTTCAAACATTCCAAAGGCTCAAGCAGTAAGACGTGCAGGCTGGACCTCTGGAATGGCCATTTTAAAATGGTTCCACTTATGCCAACTTTCACAAGGTTTTGTCTGAAAATGCTGGTTTGAAACTTGGTAGAGCTCCAGGCAGAGGTGACAGGTCCCTGTGGAAAGACTTTGGACAGAGAATTAACAATTGGAGGACGAACCCCTGCTGCCAGCAAAATCTAGGCTAGTTTTTCAGCAGACTGGAAAATACGATGTAATCCCCTCTCCACAAAGATTCATGAAATCACCCGGCCCTTTCTCTGGCCTCTGCATCTTTGATTTTTTTTCTGTAGCATCTTGTATTTGCTTCTTGCATTTGGCCCTGTGGTTTCTATTCCCTTTGGCCAAATGCAGGGCAGACTGTGCCCTCCAGGCATAGGCATTGGGTTTACAGGTTGCCATAGTTACCTTCACCCTCATAATCATGTTGCTTCCTTAAAAACCTTTAAGACATCCCCCTACTCACTGGGTCTCTTCCTTCCCAGGGATCCCCTCCACCTTTTCTGCCCCCCTCCTCAGACCACCCTGGCTGACGACCACACCCCATTTCACCGGGAAAGGTTTTTTCTTTTTGTTCTTCAGTCTTAAGACACCAGTCAGGGGTCTGCCTTTAGCTGGCTGTGCCCTGCTGTTTGTGGAAGGGATCTGGGGACTCTGAAGCAGGGTGATGTGGACCACCCAGTTCCAGATTAGGTTCCCCAAGTGGCAACTGTGGCTTACCTTCAATTTTCTTAATCACCAGTGAAACAAGCACACTTCACAAAGACAAGTACGAACTTTTCTCTAGGACAACAAAGTTAATTTGGTTTGAGCAAATGGCAATTCTGTTAGCATGTTTGTTTTTCTTTCCTTCTCCCTGTAGTGAGGGATGTTTTTAGGACAAGAGTCTCAACATCCAGGCAGGTCTAAATCTTATTACTAAATGTTATTCTTGCTAAATGTTAAAATATAGCACAGTATTTTGCAGACCAGCTGTACCCAGAATGAGCTTGCCAGGAATGCAACCAGATAAAGGTAGTCAACTGCAAAAAAGAAATCATCGTGTAATTAACCAAATACTGTATACAAGCTATGGCTAAGCCTCCCTTCTAGGAGACAGAGCTTTGCACCTGAGTCCCCTTGTCTTTTTTACTTTCTGCAAGTAAATAAAACTACATTGGGAAAAACAGGTCTGGATTCTTGAGTAGAGAGCCCTGCACCAAACACCAAATACAGAGACAAAAGACTCCTTTCTCGTTGTTACACACTAGGATCTAAGGTTGTTGCCTTGGCTCTCAGGGTGGATGGTGGCAGGTCCTACTGCATTCGCTTGATCTTCTCTGATAAGAGCCTGGGGGACCAGTTTCCGCCTGTTTATCTTGCCACCTGAATGAATCTCTAGCCTAGCCCACTGAAGTTAGAACTGCGGGTACGCTCAACTAGGATGTGATACTTAAGGGCACTGGGCATGGCAGGGCTGGGGGCGGGGAGACATGATGAATAAGGGAGAAGGAAGCCGATTACTAACTACATCTACTCCACGATTTTGCCAAATTTGGGGGGAAAATCTGCACCCATAGCTATAAACATTCAGATAAAATAAACTTGGATTTCTGATCTTCCTGGACTAGTGTTTTGGCCTGGACTACGGGCCAAAAGCGCATCCACGATCCCGTTTGAGGTCACCCTGTACAAGGGGCAGTGCACAGGGGTGGCTACAGACTACACCAATGAAAGGATGGGGGTCTGACCTGACACCGCAGAGTGGGCACGGGGGGAGGAGGGGGAGGCTGGGAACGGGGTGCGGGCCGGACAGAACGTGCAGAGGTGCTTCAAGCCCACCAAACATTAGAGGACTGTTAACCAGGGCTGAAAAGCTCCAGACACCGCCAGAAGTCTGTGCACCTCTAGGAGAGGACACCGGAAGACCTCGGGTCGGCTCTCCGCACACTGACAGAAGGCGTCCTGCCGTGCCTCCCGGGGCCCCAAGAAACACCAACCTAAGATTACTAACTCCACCGCAGCACTGCCTCGGGGGTAAGGCAAAGAGCCAAGGGTGGCTGGGGTGCTTGCGCAGAACCACGCCCCCGCTTCCCTTTCGCTTCTTATCCCTCTTATGATTGGTGCCCTCCGGCCAGCGGGCGGGCACTCAGGTGGTGGTGCGCGCGCATCGGCTGGGACCCGGCCAGTCCGAGCCTGGGTTTGCTACCCGAGGTTCAAGGGGCGGGCTTTCAGGCGGCGGTGCGCGCTCAGGGGTGGCTTCGGTCGGGTTGCGAGCCTCTCCAGGACCGCCCCTCGCCCTGCCAGCCTCCGAGTCACCGTGATGGCTGCCTTCCTTCTGTTCCGGCAAGGACGAGCTAGGGCGCTGAAGGTATAGGGGAGCTGGGCCTGCGGCTGGGAGCCAGCGTAGGGTCTCGGCGAGGGCGCGGCCCTGAGGCCCCATCGGGCCGTCCCTGGGAAGCGCTGACCCCGCTCCGCAGTGGAGAGGGTGCCTGGCCGGTGCAGGCGGCCGGGGGTGGGGGCCGGCGAATGGACCCCCGACCCCGGCCCGGCCCCCTCGGAACCCTAATTCCCTAGGAAGTCTCCGGTGAGCGGTACTCCCAGGTGGCGTGCGCCGCCCTGCTCTGTCCAAACCGTGTAGGACTGCGTCTTTACTTTCTGAAGCAGGAAAAGAAGTAAGGGAACTTCCGGGCACCTGGCTGACCCGGTGACTTGTTTCGCAGCTGCCAAGAAGCCAGCTTACATTACCTGGTTTGAAAAGAACGGAAGAAGCCTTTCTTCATATATAAAGGCTAAGGCCACTAAACGATCTCTAAAGTTTAAAAAGGCTCTTATTACATAAGCAATAACTATTCATTGATATAAATAAAGTACAGGTGGGAAATCTATTGTCAGAGAGTCTATTTACTCCTTGGAGTAGTTGCAAACGAGTTTTTCTGTGTTCTTATATACACATACCCACGTTGAGTGTAGCCATAAACAAAAAATAGTTTGTCCTTCACGTATGCACTCAAGGCACCTCTGTTCTTATGGGGAGCGTCTGGAACAGTGCCCACCACACAGTAGGTCTTAGTAAATATATGCTGAATAAATTAACAGTTTGTAAAATGCTTGCCACTTTTATATATTGAAAACAAATTTGAAGCAGGTTTATTCGTCACTTTTTAAATACTATTTTAAGTAGTATTCTAGTTTACTTTCTAAGTATAAGAAAAATTTTACAAAAAGAACCATAGTATTTTGTAGGTAATGGTAAATTGGAGACTACAAAAAAGCATGCGCAGAAGGAAGTCTGGTTGGAGAAGTACCCAAGTGTTGATAGTGCATGTTCTTGAACTAAGTTTTTTTTCTTTTTGCAGCTTTTTTGTATTTTTCCATGATTTCTACAATATACATATGTTATGAAAATTGTAATCATTAGAAATATGCCACGTGAATGCAAAGGACAGTATTCATCTGTAGTCCTAGCCTTTGCAGCTTTTTTGTATTTTCCACAATTTCTGTAATATACACGTATTATGAAAATTATAATCTTTAGAAATATGCCATATGAATCTAAAGGAAAACACTCATATGTAGTAATAATACATGATTTTCATATGTACTAATAGCTGTTATAAATGGTATTTCACTAAAATATCCTTTTGAAAATTATGTTTTACTTTTCTTTTTTTTAAGATTTTTATTTTTTTAAAAACTATTAAAATATCTTATTTATGTATTTATTTTAAGTATTTATTTACTTTTTTAGAAAGGGGAAGGAAAGGAGAAAGGGAAAGAAACAATGTGTCGTTGGTTGCCTCTTGCACTCCCCCTACTGATGACCTGTCTTGCATCCTAAGCATGTGCCCTCACTGGGAATCGAACCAGCAACCCTTTGCTTCGCAGCTCGTGCTCAACCCACTGAGCTACACCAGCCAGTGCAGATTTTATTTTTTGAGAGAGAGGAAGGAAGGGAGAAGGAGAGGAAGAGAAACATCAATGTGTGAGAGATACATCCATCAGTTTCCTCTCACCTGCCCCCAACAGGGGACCTGGCCAACAAACCAGACATGTGCCCTGACTGGGAACCGAACCAGTGACCTTTCAGTTTTCAGGCCGGCACTCAATCCACTGAGCCACACCAGCCAGGGCTATTTTTATTTTTCAATTAAAGTTTACTTTCAATATTTTATTGGTTTCAGATATACAGTATAGCATTTTGACAATCATATTTTACAAAATGTTCCCCCTCATATTTCCAGCACCCACCTGGCACCATACATAATTGTTGTAATACTATTGACCGTATTCCCTGTGCTGTGCGTTGCATGCCCGTGACTGTTTTGTAACTACCAGTTTGTACTTCTCAATCCCTCCACCTCTTCCACACTGCCTCCCAAACCCCCTCTCCTCTAGCAACTATCAGTTCGCCGTGTCTGTGAGTCTGTTCAATTTGGCTTTTTCTTTAAATTCCTAAAATATCCTTATTTGTTGATTCTTTTGTCAGACTATGCTCCTAGAAGGACAAGTGTTTCCAGGACTTGGTCCTACAGCTTCTCTCTCTGCAGAATCCGGAAAGAGTGACAAAGGACTGCCACCAAATTCCAAGAAGCAAAGTTCACCAAAAAGTAAGATTTGAACGGTAGTCGTAGGTGAAAAGAATGCAGATAAATCAGGAAGCTCCCACAAACTGAAAGGGGTTTTACTAGCTACATAATTTGTGCTTCTTTGTTTCCAGCTGCATCCAGATTGTAATCAGACATAAGGTTTGTAACAGATATTAGACCAAACGTATCAGTAATGTAACAGTCTTCTACTCACCACTTAGCCCGGAATGGGATGCAGAGTATAAAGGCTCTGGGTGTTCACGTGGACCTAACACGGACCCTGTGCCCCTCCCATGAATCCCACTTTCCTTTCCCTCATTGTGACTTTTTTCCCCAATGTTTTGAGGCCTCTCTGTGGCTTTGCTCAGCCCCAGTCCAGGATTGCAGGCATTATTCTGTGACTGTGAAGAGAGTTGAGGGCATGCGCCGTTTTCCATTATGACTTGCTTTGATGGAGCATGCACGTGTCTGCTGTGTTTCCGGCTCTTTACAGAGTCGTTTTGGCTTTTATCATCAATTTCACTGTACTTTTCCCTGGAATACCAGTGTAGCCTGTCCTCATGGAAGGGAAAGGGGAAGTGCGACAGTATGTTTTGTTTTGTTTTGTTTTTTAATTTTAATTTAATTTAAAGTAATTTTAATCCTCACCTGAGGATATGTTTATTGATTTGAGAGAGAGGGGAGTGTGGGGGTCAGAGAGAGAGAAACATTAATCAATTATCCCGAACGGGGATCAAACCCACAATCTTTTGGTGCGTGCGGCAATGCTCCAGCCAACTGGGCCACTCAGCCGGGGCTGTTTTATTTTACTTTATTTTATTTTGTTCTGTTTCGACTGTATGTTCTAAATACTTCTTGTGCAAGAATTCTATGTTCCATTCCCACTCATTATTAATTGATTATAATCCAGGTCTATTGCATTTAGTCTTAACTGATGAAACCTTAGTTGAGTCTTAAAAAAATACACATAATATTTTCAGTCTCTTGACAAAGTCTTTCATCTTCATTTGGGGTTTAGAATGGTCATTTGAGTTTGTCTTCTTTTCAGGATGATACCATTTTCTCAGTTTGAAAGTGTTTAGATTCTGTTCTTGTGTCCCTCCTTGGTCTGCACACAAAAGCGTGAGTGGGTTAGAAGATACTGGCACTCCGTTCAGAGTGCCGCCTGCCAGCTGCCATTCACACGCCATTGACCTCGACCAAGGAGGCGCACCTTCCTGGTGATGTCTTCGGCCCCTGTCACCTGTACCTGCTTCATTTTTCAATTGGTGCTCTCTTTTTTTCATTCATAAGCTTTAACATAAGGATCTTAAAATAAGGACTTTTATTTATGTATGTATGTATGTATGTATGTATTTTATTTTGCGGGCACAGCCATTATACCATTATCACACCTAAAACATGTTTATAAGAATATCAGTTAAATTCTCTATTGTGCCTGGCATGTGTCTAACATTCTTTACTGATGAATGAGTAGTTGAGTTTCATTACTAATGTTATCCTTGGCCTTGGTGAAGGTTTTTTTTTTTTTTAAGGTTTTATTTATTTTTTATTTTTAAAGAAGAAGGAAGGCAGAAAGAGAGAGGGAGAAAAACATCAATGTGTGAGAGAAACATTGATTGGGTGTCTCTCTCATGCCCCCAACTGGAGACCTGGCCCGCAACCCTGACGGGGAATCGAAACAGGGACCTTGCGGTTCGGAGGCCAGGACTCAGTCCACTGAGCCACACCAGCCGGGGCAGGCCTTGGTGGAGTTTTATCTTTTATCTGCAGTCCTGCTTCATAGCTTTATGAGCTTGGATTAATGGAATTTAAATGACCATCGCAGAGCCTCATTTGCTGCTTTTTAGAAGCATTCTTCTGTATGTGAGTGGAAATGGGGTGCTTCATCCTGTGACAGTTTGGGGTGCAGTTATGAGATGGGAACCCTGAACTGGGGGTTGCCCTGGGTTCATAGCTTCTGCCTCCGGACGCAGCAAGCCCTGCAGGCTCGAGCCTCTGCCCTTGGTGCCGAGTGGGGCCAGCGATCACGCCGGCCGCCCTGGGCCAGGGTGAGTCCGGTGGGGGGTGGTAAGAGGTGTGGTGTGTGCATGGGCACAGTTGTCAGAGCTACACTATCTTTAACACACATTACATTCGTATCTCAGCATTTAAAACACAGTAATCCCTAGGTGAAGAAAAAGAGCAACTTATGCTTCTGAATCACAGTGTGCAGACGTCCCAGAGGTTCAGTGATTGAAAAGCTCGAGACGCAGGAGTGCTTTTCACCCACAGGTGGCACATGGCCAGGTTACCCCCCACCCGCGGTGGTGGTTTTGTTGCATTTGTCTTTCAGGGAAAGTCAGTACCAAACTAAAACATTGCCAGATACATCAGCATCCTGCCTCTACACACACATCAGAAATTTCATGAAAACACACAGGTGAATTCACGCTTGTATTCAAAGTTGGAGCCATTGTCCCTCTGCGTGACAGTACGGTCTTCCAAGGACACCATTCTGTACCACTGAGTGCAGACTGGGTGCGGGCACCGGTGCTGTGGCACAGAAGCTTGGTGGCAGCTCCAGGTCACGGCGGCCAGCTTCCCTCTGAATGACAGGGTGCTGGGCTGGGCGGCAGCGGGTCGGAAACTGGCTCTCGGTAGAGAAGCGGAGTGCTGGACCTCAGTTTCTCGGCCGTCCGTGGACGTCTCCCAATAACGCAGCCCAGACAGAGAAAACTTTAAAGCAGGAGTATCCAGCCTACAGGCTGCATGTGGCCCTGGATGGCTACGAATTCAGTCCAACACAAAATTGTAAATTTACTTAATACGGTACTTAGTTTTATTACTAAGTTTTATACGAAGTTTTACTACTTAGATATGTATATTTTCTATATTAGTGATCACAAACTTGGAAACTGCTCAATGATTTTAAAAGATTATCGAAAGGGCCACTGCAGAATTAGGGTTATTATTATGTGAGGACTTTTTTGCTTCTCTCTGGTGACAGATATCATGAAAATTATGCACAGGCCTTTTTTTGCTCATCAGTTTTCATTAGTGTTTGTGTATTTACTCTGTGGCCCAAGGCAACTCTTCTCCTGTGTGACCCAGAGACACCAAAAGGTGGGACACCTGTGCTTTAAAGCATTCTTTTTCATGTGACAAGTGTCTTTTTCAAACTAAATATATCATTGTTAATCCCATTTGAAATTTTCTTCCCATTTTCAGTGGGTGCTGCATCAACCTGCAATGTAGTTTTAATAACTTATTTACAATTTAAAACATTTCACAACAATTTTTGGAAGATTCAGATATAATTTTTCTACTCAAAGCAGCCCGTTGTAGACAGGCTTTATTTTAAGTTATCTTTTTTTTTAAATTCCTTTCCTCTTTTCCACCCACCCCTCCGTCCCCCTTCCATCTGGCGACCATCAGTTTGTTCTCTGTGGGTTTGTTTCTACTTCGTTTTGCTTGTTAATTTGTTCTGGTTTTTGATTCCACATGTAAGTGAAGTCATACAGTGTCTGTGTTTCGGCGCCGGAGGGTTTCCTTTCCTCCACATCCTCGCCAGCACTTGTTATTTGTTCTCTTTTGGTTGCAGCCGTTCTGACAGGTGTGAGGTGTGGTTTTGATTTGCATTTCCCTGGTGATTGGTGACGTTGAGCATCTTTTCATTTGTGTATTGTCTATCTGTATGTCCTTTTTGGAGAAGTGTCTGTTCAGGTCCTCGGCCCATTTTTTTAATTGGATTATTCACTGTATGGGTTTTTTATTATGTTGAGTTATGTAAGTTAATTTTGTATTCTTCAGAACTTTAGAAGTATACGCAACATAGAAGTGGATTAATGATGCAGGTGAACAGGCTATCGGGGTTTGGAGGCTGCGTGCCCTATACACTACTGTTAGGGATTTCCGAGCTGTATCGGGCATGGTTTAGAGAGATGGGGAGAAAAGGAGAGTTCAAGTGCGCATGCACTTCTTTGCCTCATTTGTATGTTTGCCCCTGGAGCTCCATGTGAGTCCTGAGAGTTACCTGCATCCACACCTGCTCTGGGTGGTCAGCATGCAGATCCTGGGCTGGCAAACAGCTACGTAATCAGACGCGACGTGCAGCGGGTGTGGGGACGGAGGTGGCAGTTTTGAACAGTCACTTGTGCGCCAGCTGTTCATGCACATCTCCGTACACGGCCCATTGGCCTCTCTGGCCCATGTCTGGGTTTTGGTTGATCCTCAGTCTTCTTTTATCGTTTTCTATCATTCTGTTACATACAGGCCCCTGAGCTCAGAAAACTGTTAAAAAACCTTCTTGGATACTGGTAAGATAGGAAAGCTAGGAATACATTTTTTTCTACTTTAGAGAAATAGGATTGAGGTCTTTTTAGTGTAAAATAGGCTTGAAAACAAAGACTGGATTTAGAGTTTGTTTGTAATATATTTTTTAAATTTTGCTTTAGATTTGAAAAGGAGTTTTACTTTATAAAAACATGCCCTACACTTTTTTCCTAATCTGTATAGTTAGAGAAGATTCACCACCTGAGGAAATGGAAATCAGCTCTAGTCAGTGAGCTGTGTGATTTCATTTGTTTAATAATTGACTTGGCAAAGTATAAGGCTTATGTTTGCACTTACTTGATTTTTTACAGTGTAAAACCTGTTGTTTCCAGTGGTATATATGATACTAAATTACGTAGACTTCTGTGGCCTTACAGCACTTCTGCTTTCCTTAGCGGAAGAAACTCCCAGATCGCTTGTGATCCTGAAGAACTTTTCTTCCTCTTAGGGCAACGTCATGTGAACTACATTATCCCCTCCCCCACCCCACCCCCAACACGTGGCTGTGTACGCCCCAGACCCAAACCAGGCTTTTGTCTCCTTTTGTTTTGCTGTTGTTCAGAAAGTGCAAGTTCATACAATATGGAGACCTTTTCTAATATTTGAGAAGCACCAGTTTTTAGGGTTTTGAGAAATTTTACATTTGTAAAACTTCAGTAGTTATCTTTATACTATAGTTTACCTTAAATTTGGTTGAAATCATTTAAAAGTAATTATCAAAGAAGTTCTCTTTGGAAAAATGTGGACATGTTTGTTATTTCTGTTAAAAGCCCCATGTTAAACACGGCCAGTTACAGAGAAAACCATCTGCATTTCTTCCTATCCCCTCGTGGGGCTTGGCCTTCCCGCGAGGGTGGGCCCCCGACGCAGTCCTTAGGGTGGTTACGTTGAAGACGTTGCAAATGACCAACTGGTGTACGATAAAATGTCTGTGACTTTGATTCACTTAGGTTGTTTTACTAAATATTAAAAATAATATTCCTCTTTATGCCATTTCCTAGATGTAGTGGACCCAAAGGAGAGGGGCAAGCTACTAACTACCCCAACAGCAGCCGAATTGTCTAAAAACCTAACTTCACCCAGTTCTTACTCATCAGTTGTGACTCGAGGTGGGACAGTAGCTGGCCCTCGCCCTGCTGACGACGTGCTGTTCACAGACAAAGGGGTCCCAAAGGTTTTGTCAAGGAAGACCTTGGTAGCACTTCCTCAGAAGGGCCCGTCTCTGCTCAGAAGCCAGGGCGCCCATGCAGGCGCCCCTCAGGAGAGTGGGGGAGTGACAGGCAGTTCGTCGTCATCGTCGTCTTCGTCTTCTTCATCTTCATCCAGCTCCTCCGACTCAGGGTCTGACGACGAGGCCGATGGCTCAGCAGCGGGTTCACCAGTGATGAGCAAAGGCAGAGGGGGGGCACCCAAACCAGGGGCCTCCCGCTCCTTTGAAAATAGGGCCCCCAAGACTCCGGTATCAGCAAGAGAGACGGCCTGGTCCCCACAGCCACGTCAGGACCTCGCCTCTCCAGAGGGGCCCCATCAGGCAAAGAAGAAAGGGGCCTCCATTAAGCCATTAAAGGTCAGAAAAGACGAACCAAAACCCACGTTATCCAAGTCACAGGTAGATAAAGAGGTTTTGAAGGGGAAAAAAATGCAGCAAATATTTAGCTCAGATAAAATAGATAAGGAAAGCCAAAGGCCGCCTGAAGTTACACATACCTCACCCGACCCTGCAAAGTCAAGAGTGTCAGCACAGCCGAGTGGGGGCAGAGTGCCCACGCGACTGACAGAAGGCACAGCCATGGGAGGGCAGCTACAAGCAGCTCCTCCCGAGACCCGAGGAAGGCGGTTGGAGAAGCAAGGACCAGAGCCCACCAGGGCGGTGGCTTCTTCCCCGTTCAAAAAAGAAAACTTGGGGAAGCAGGTGATAGAAGGAATCTCAAAGGCAAATGGAGAGGTTTCGGAAGAGCAGGGACCAACAACAAATTCGAAGTCAGTTCCCATTCAGAATACAGCCGTGTTTGATAAGACAGCAGAACTAAAGCTTGAAGCACAGGGCGGCATCGCCGAAGACGCAGTGACCCAGGCAGGCGGCCAGGACCACGCACAGGGTATATACCTTGACCGCTGCGAACTCTCCTTGTCCTTGGGGGGGCGGGTGAGACTGACGAGCCACAGGGTAGAAAGAAGTGCCGCCACTAATCGGACTCCACAGGAGAGACGTGGCCTGTTACACTGTGTCAGATCAGCAGCGCAGTCTGTCTGAATTGTGAGAGATACACGCCTTACGTACAGAAATCCCCAAAACATTCTAAATTGACCTTACAGTGGAAGAGTAGGCCCTTGGCACTCTGGGCTGTCCCCAAACCAGTCTAAGTTTGCAAACTGGCGTGTAATGCATCGCCCTTAACTGTGGGTGGTGGCCAGTGTCCGCTTCGTGAACTGCAGAGCAGCTCACTGAGCGGAAGGGGGAGTCCCGTTTAATGAGTAGGGCGGTGGTTCAGTTCGATCCGGTGCTGTACAGGTGAGCTAACAGGTGGTGCTTTTTGCATCCTACGCCTAAGGGATGAGAAACCTGCAGTTCAGGGATCCGCACAGTGAGTGACTGAAGGGAGCCGTTGACCACGTGAATCTTTCCACTGGATGCTTCCTTTTCTGCTTTACCCGAAAAATCCAGTGCACTGCTTTATTTGCCTATAATGAGATTTTATGAAGAGCTTTTTTGCTAGCACCAATTTTGAAAGGGAAACTGTGTATTCCTATTAGGTTACCATTTTCTTGTGCATTGAACTTTATAAAATAAGAGTGTGCTTTAGGTAGGTCATGGCCAAACGGTCTAGGAGGTCTCTGATTTTAGGGTCCGTGTCTCTTCAAGATGCATTACTATTACTAACAAACCCAGCTCCTTCCTGTTTGCTCTTGATTCTTTTTAAAATCTTCCTTTTGCCTAATTTACGTGACCTGGTCATCCTTGTTATCAGTTGCCTTACGTTGACAGAATTTACGTGTTTTCTTCCCTCCCTTTTCTCTGTTTGTCATTAATGTACAAAGTGCCAGAGCTTACCAGACCACTCCAGACCTCAAGAACCGCGCAGCCTGGCGCTGCTCTTTCAGCCCCTCTGCCGTAAACTGGGGGGAGCACCGGAACCTTCAGGAGGAAACAGAATTCGGGTGCTCAGATTGCAGACTTTTTGAAAAACCTTTGCTTCTGATTTTTCATGCATGTGGGAATCTTCCACTGTTCTGTTTGCCCTGGGGAGGTGAGCGCCGCCACCCAGGAACACGGGGGCCGTGTCTGTGCGGTGGTCCGACACGTCCCCGAGTCCCCCGGGCTCTGCCTTCCAGGGCTGCCGGTCTTTGATCAGTTTCCTACGCCCACATTCACCTTCGTTCTGAGGATGCCCCCGTGCCACATCGAAGATACTCTGCTCATGGAGGCTAGAAAGATGCCGGCCCTTTACACGTTGTTTTTGTTTAATATAACTAAAAAAAAAAACTTTTGGTATGAATTAAAATCGTGGGAGAATGAGTTTCAGTTATATTTTGTGCAGCCTGAGTGGAAGCAAAGAGAGCCCCGGTGACGGAAGTTTGGGGTCGGCGAGAACGTGACCCAGACCTTAGCCGGCTTCTCCCACGAGCTCTGTCCTGCCGAGGTTCTGTCTCACGCTCCGCGTCACCGATGTCTCCTCTGCTTCAACCACACACTTTTAGTTTTAAGATCACCAAATGTCTAGGTGTGTGGATTTGAACTCTTTTTTTCCACTGAAGGAAATGAAGCTAAATGAATATTTTTTTATTCTGTGAATCTAAAATATACCAACTGTTTCCAAAAGTTAAAACCTACACATCCCCTTTCCACTCCTTAACTGTGTTGTTACTAAAACAGGTGGAGTTTACCTAGTTTTCTTATGTTCAGAGACTTATGCTGCTTTTGAAAATTTTCTTCTAAAATGTTTGTTTCTGTTATAGACAGATTTCTAATAGATCTCATTTTTTCCCCTGAATCTTTATGTGACCCCAAAGTTCCACCATAACTGTTCTAGGCATTTGCAAGGTTTGGAGAAGCCCAGGGTCCAGAAGTGCATAAAGTAGTAAGTTAAGACGTATGACCATAACTATTCAGTTCTTGTGAGGCCGTGTGTTTTAGGGTAGATTCTCAGCTGAACTCTCCATCTGAGTTTTGAAGACACCGGTGCTTTCAGGGCTTTTCTAACTAGACACTTTGTAATAGGGAGACAAGGCAGTTCTCTCCCCGTCTGCCGAGCTCACTGTGTGTGTTCCGCCCACAGAGCCCGTGCAGGCTGCCGCCCCCGAGCCGTTCGACAACACCTCCTACAAGAACCTGCAGCACCACGACTACACCGCGTACACCTTCTTAGACCTGAACCTGGACCTCTCCAGATTCAGGATGCCCCAGCCCTCCTCCGGACGGGAGTCGCCTCGCCACTGAGAGCTTGGTTTAGCGATTGCGCGTACGTTGTCTGCTGTGTTCTGGGCTGCGAAATAAAGTGCTCAGGTCCCGAGGTCTGGCGTGTCACTGGTTCCCCTGTTACACCTTCACCGTGAAGGGCGAGTTGGGGGCACGGCACTGCACGTTCACTCAGCGTGTGTTCATCTGTGTGCGGGGAATTCTTTTTGTTGTTGTTGTTGTTTTTTTTAAAAGATTTTATTTATTTATCTTTAGAGGGGAAGGGAAGGAGAGAAGAGGAGAAACATCAATGTATGGTTGCCATTCATGCGTCCTCTGCCGGGAACTGGCCTGCAGGGAACCTGCCTGCAACCCAGGCATGTGCCCTGACTGGGAATCGAACCGCAATTGTCTGGTTCGCAGGCCCGCGCTCAATCCACTGAGCTACACCAGCCAGGGCTGTGCGGGGAATTCTTTAAGGCTCACAGACACGCCACGAAGTTAGAAAACGTGTGTGCTTCCGGGCAGGGCCGCTCTGTGCGGAGCCCCAGTCAGTTCAGTGCTAATCTGGGTCACCGCTGGGCACTGACAAGCAGGCCGGCAGCTTCTGCTTTCACACCCAGTTCCCAATCAGTCCGGAGTAGGAGTTTGCTCATCTTAATGATGGGGTTGCAAAGAAATAAAATTACAGCATTTTATTATCAGAGAAGGAACAATCCTTTTTGTTCACTTGAATTCGGTTTTCGATGTGAACTCAGGGATGCTTCCAGTGGTGGGACTGGGGAAGGTGGGAGTTTTACGGCTCCCAGGTGGCCACAGCTCACCCAGCAGGATTAGCTTCGGTGGCAGGATAACCTTCCTTAAAACGTAACGTAACGGGGGGGGGGGGGTTACAGTGTGCACACCAGGCAACCAGGCAGCCTGTGGGGATGAAGCCGCGGACTGCTCAGGGGCAGCGACACACCTGGATAACTGCTGCTGCTTAGGAGCCGCGCTGATGCAGGCAGCCCTGCGGGGCCTGGAGTGGGCAGTTCACCCGCCGGACAGGAGAGTCTCACCTGGGCTTCCTTCTCACGCCTCCCTTCTTGTGCACGGGCTTCATGGCATTTCGTGCGAACTCGGGTCCTTGGCCTCCAGTCAGCTTACAGCGAGCAGTGGATTTGTAACTGACGATTCACATTCCTGTAAGCCTACATTTCTTAAAACTAGTCTGAGTAGGAATACCAAAATTGAAAATAGTCTCGAAAACTAGCACTGTGATTGTCTGCCTCAGATTTTCTTACCACCCAAGAGGCTTAGCAACTCAGCAAGTTTTCTAAGCACATTTTTTATTATAAAAGTACTAAAACCACATTACCAAAGGGAAAATGGAAAGTGGTAAGATTACCTAAAATCCACTGTGCTAACCCAGCCATTATTAACATTTTACACGTGTTCCCCAGTGGTTGTGGCTTTGTTAGATATAACCACACAACGTGCGTAGTTTTCTATCCTGATGTTTTTCTTAGTGGCCTGCTTGTCCTACCGTGGCCCACGGAACCCCTGTGACGTTTAGGGGGGCGGGGGAAATAGAATGTGAAGCCACAGAGTGCGTTCCCCTGGACTGTTGATGCCACAGACTCAAACGTCTTTAGATAAAAATGACTGAGTGTATTTTTTATTAATTTTTTAGAGAGAGAGGAAGGCACAGAGAGAGGTTGATTTATTGTTCTACTTATTTATGCATTCATTAACTGCTTATATGCGCCCTGACCAGGAATCGGACCTGCAGCCTTGGTGTATCAGGACGATGCCCCAACCTGGCCAGGGCCTGGTTTGAGGCTGAGCTACCTGGCCAGGGCCTCGAGTGTATTTTAATGTGCATGAAGTTCACCCCTGGAGCCAGTTCTGTGGGGCTGTCTCTCAGTCTCCCTGGGACTTCTGTCCCCTCTCCGCCCACCGAAAAGGCTCACAGGTGGGTCTGTGTTTTAGACCCATTGTCGCCAGTGACTCCTCTATGTCCCATCTGGTGGCAACTTGCACACAGTCGGTGTGGCAAGACCTCTGTGATTCTTACGCAGAGGCAGAGGGCAGGGTTTCTCCAAGGGCCGCAGGTCACGGGCGCCAGTGTTCATGGCTCCCACAGCTCATTGAATGAATGAAAGAGCTAGCCAGAGAAAAGACTAAGTTAGCGGTGTGTTCCAGGTGCCCCGCGCCCTGGCTCTGCCTCCTCCTCTCCCTGGCCCTCTGTTCCTTTTCCCTCCTCTTGCCCTTCGTCTAGAAGGGGTCTGAAACGATGGCTAAAGTGCTGTTTCTTCCAGAGCAGTTTCCACTCCTACAGGCCTCTGATGAGCATCGCTGTAAATGTCTCCTATGTGTGGACCTAGGCTGATGCCCTGGGCTCAGAGGAAGGGAGGGAGGCACGAGAACAGCACCACAGCCCCGGGAGGTAATGCGCCACATCCAGTGACGGCAGGGTGACACCAGAAGGGAGCTGCAGGGAACAGGTGGAGGTGGGTGTTCGTCGGAGAAGAACGTGCAGGACAAGTCTCACCCAAACGTTGAAAAGTAACCAGGAGTTCACTGGGTGCCCGGTGGGATTGTGGAGGGACCCTGGCGGGCCTTCAGGATGGGTATGTGTATGGAAAGGCCCGGATGCTGAGAAGCACTTGGTTTTCAGGAAACTAGGTCCTTGGGCATGGAGGGTGGCTCCGTCTGAGAGGGGAACGCACCAGGACTGAATGGGTAAGGAGGCTGGTCACGAGGCTTGGGCTGTGTGTCAGCCCACCCCAGCTGCCATGTCAAAATACCGCAGTGGATGGCTGATCTGAAAAATTTATTGTCTCCCAGGCCTGGAGGCGGGCTGGCCAAGTCAGTCCATGGCGAAAGCGCTCTCTGCCTGGTTCGCACTGGCCGCCTTCCAACACCATCGTGCTGGGGATTCGGACTTCAGTATGCGAGTCTGGAGGGACACAAACCTTCAATCTGTAACAGGGTCTAATCTGCAGGAAAAGAAATGGGCTATCCCGTTTTATAAGAAGAATCAGACTGACCGTTTGTCTGAAATACTCTGACAAAAAGGGTAGGCAGGGGCTGGCCACAGCGGACGTAAATGACAAAATGCCAGTCACTGCAGAGACCAGATGGGGCGGGAGTTGATGCTTCTGCTCCCACATTTCTAGTGCTTGGGAACTTTCGGAATAACAAGAACTTTGTAAATCCTACTAGTGTCGTGGAGAATAAAGTTGCAAGAGGAGAAATGCAAGACAGAGAGAGGAAATGGGTCACTTTGCAATTCCTGCAGGCAGAGTGACGCTGCATCTTGCTCAGGCCTGGCTCCTCGCCTGGCTGGCCCGGGAACTGGGCAGTTAGGGCAGACGTAGCCACACTGCTGTCCTGAGAGGTCAGTCCTGCTTACAGCCATTCCAACAGTTTACAGCCATTCCAACTCACACCCTTGCCAACAGCAGAATCAGGGTTTCAATATGTGTTAATCTGGTGAATAACTCTAATCCCGAGTGTGGGTGAGTTTGTATTTCCTCCAGGCTTAGAGGCATCAAAAGCAAGCTGCTCTGATGGTAGCCACGTGTCTCTGTCTCCTGTTCCATCTGCTCTGTCCGTTATTTGATACGGTTCTTCGCTTTCAGCAAGTTTTCCTGCAATGTATCCGAATCTGTTTTCTATTTCTGTTCCGCTCATGGGGACATCTAACCACAAGTGGTAGCGCTTTTGTCTGTCTTCTAACTGCCTTTCTTACAGAATGTATCCACCCCGAGCCCTTCACAGGAGAAAAGCTGGACAATGAAACCCAGCCGACCAGGAGGTGATTAATGAGAAAGCTCAGCAATTGCGGAGCTGTGTGAAGAGGACTGGGTTTGGCCATAGAACTCATGTGCATACGGAACTAATACGAAACAAGGACAGGATCATGGTTGCAAGACGGGACGGGACTGTCACAAACTCTGACAAGTAAAAACCTTAGGAATGGAAGACTAGAGGCAGGAGCAGGAGCTAGGAGGTGGCCTGAGAGGGACCCAGCTGGCCTTTCAGAGCCGGTGTGGCCTGTCTAACGTAGACACGGGGCTGCAGAGGGCAGGACTCCACGCGCTGCCTCTTTATCTCTGCAGCATTTATGAGGAACCAGTATCTTCTGAAAAAAAAAATACATTTATTTATCTGAAGTTTAGAAATCCCTTTGTTTTTACTTCAATTTCTTTTTATCAATTAAATTTAAGAATTTAGTGTATAGTTTAATGCTTTGTGTTTTTAAAAGTGTCGAAATGAGGTCTTTTATGTCTGATAGGTTCTTGAACAGAAAATGCTTTTCTAAGTTGATATTTAATTATTTTAATTTATTGTAAAATTTAGGGGCCCTGGCTGGTGTAGCTCAGTGGACTGAGTGCAGGCCTGCAACCCAAGGGATTGTGGTTCGAGTCCCAGTCAGGGCACTTGCCTGGGTTGCAGGCCAGTTCCCAGCAGGGGACACATGAAAGGCAACCATACATTGATATTTCTCTCCCTCTCTCCTTCCCTTCCCCTCTAAAGATAAATAAATAAAATCTTTAAAAAATAAAATAAAATAAAATTTAAACAAAAATTTAAATCAAAGCTTTAAAATATTTTTAATATTCGGTCCTTTAAAATATCTAATTTTTCTCAAAGCCTTTTTTTTTTTTTTTGCGGATCTTGTTAATCTGTGATGCACTCACAGTTTAATGACCACTTCTCAACTTAAAAAGAAAAAATTTTTGGACATGCATTTCCTGGTGAAAAGTATTGGAACTTTTCAGTTAGTTTTTATATTCATGAATGAATATCTTAAGCCTAGTTTCATGAATATTAACAGCTAAAAAGAGAGGGAGAGAAAGTACAGACCACTCCCAGGGTGGGGGGTGGGTTTCGTGGGGCCTAAAGCTCATGGAATTGGGAGAGCTCTTTTTAATTAAAGAATAATGCAGAATTATGAATTCAAAGTAAGGCGTATAAAAGTGAATATTATTTAGAATGAGGAAAAAAGCTTACAAATTTTAAAAGCTGGTACATACCATAAACCTCACACATCCAGAAAGAGAATATGATATTTTTATTAACTGCTTGGCATGCCTTCTGTGCCAGGCAGTTAATAAAAAAGTTCTG